AGTCTTCACTTGGCTTCTTCTTTGGCGCGCTTGGCTCTTGAAGCGTGTTCTTTTGATCTTTTCTTTCTTCTTGTTCACATCTTTTATTCATCTTTTTAGGCCTTCGCGGCTCTTGATTCTGTCTTGCAGGGGCATCTTCAGTCAGCAGTCCTCCGTTAGCACTGGGAGACCCAGCCCACGTACACCACGTGGAGGTCGAGGACGGTACGCTCAGTGCCCCCAGAGCTAGCCTACTCGGAAAAGGATTAGCTACGCTCATGTTGGTGGCCCATGGCCACGGCAGACTACTTCCGCCATTGCCATGCCGAGGAGGACGAGGCATAATCTCGGTGGTCTCGCCACCAGCTGTTGTCTGTCCAGCCCCGCTGGGACCCTCAGCTGTTCTGTTGGCGGTTCTCCCATGGGGCAGCGGCCGTTTCATGCTGCCTTTTGGCCTGTTCCTTCTCCTTGGTCTGCATGAAGCGCTGCTTGCCGACCGTGTAGCCCTGCTTGTGATCAATGCGCATCTTACGCACAACTTGACCTTCCTCCGGCATATAGATGAAGAGGCGGTTCGGCAATTCGCAGGCGCGACAGGTTTGGTCATAGATGGCCTTGATGGTTGACGCAACTATTTTAAGGTTGTCGTCGGTTTCCAGGATGGCCTGCATTTCCACCTGGCTCCGGCTCCACATGTGTTTGAACAGAGCGCCAATGAGGCCGAAGTATGTGGTGACCCTTTTGCAGCTCATTGTAGCTGCTGCCTTCCCCAATGGTGGGACGCCCTTCGTGGCCGACCACAAGCTTAGCTGTCATGGCTTCCTGCCAATTCACCCGACTCAGTGGTTACTGGTTGCTGTGTATAACGTCGAAAAACCAGGGGACCTTCGAAAGACCACTGATGCGGTTTTGCCACATATGAATTTGCTCCGCTGCTGTGAGCTCACCAATGACCACTTTTTCTTTGACGATCACTATATGGTGGCGAGGGCAAAGACCCACTCATAGAATTGGTCGGACTGACAGACCATAGCCAGGCGATCTCGCTTAGGCAGGGAAGTCTCTTGGGCTTGCAGTGACTCTCCCTCCGTGTAGCCAATGAGCTGGTCTGAAGGCACCGGCCCACTCGCAGTGAGTGGGGTTGGTGCAGCTTGCTCCCAGGAAGGAGGGGTGATAGGCGTTGGCTGATAAAGTGGAGGGCCTCGCCCCGATGGAGCCTTGCGGGGGTCTGTTGAAAGAGGTGGCATGCCCAAGCTGAGTCGCACCCGTGATGTTGCTGCTGACACCACTATCGCTGGGGGCCGGTCAACGGTGGGCTCCGGAAGTGGCCTAGGCTCACTGGGTGTGGTTCAAACATTGCCTAAGCAGAGAAGTCAGACCAGCAAGGTCGCGTCCCTCCTTGTGTAGAACACAGATAGCTGTTACGATGGAGATAGTGTAGCAGCTGTTACTCAGGAAATATCCAACATAATCCCCAAGAAACTGAACTGCATCTATGTCATCGGCCAAGTTGAAAATACACGCTTCCCGGTGGCCATCGACTGCGAGGAAGTTGGGACACTTGGCGGAATTGCGATGCTTGGAGGACCATTCCCGGGGTTGTTGACCTGATTCACCTTCTTCAGCCATTGCTCCAATGACCTGGTTTGCCACAAATTTTGCAGTTGTTGTAGGGACTTCATGTTGTCGGGGTTGTAGCCTTACCTTTCCCTTTGTGATCCTTGCCTCCTTTGGGGTTCCCTTTCGGTTTTCCAAACTTGCCCTTGTGGTAGTCGTGGCAATAGCGCTTGCCTTTGTCCTTGCTGTCCTTTCCTCCTTTCGGGTTGCTGTTGTAGCGCCATTGATCACCCCCTCTGCCTTTCCGTTTAGGGCCTTCTCCTTTCCATCTACGTCCATGGGGTTGGGGCATCTGGGGCATTCGCAGGGACATCGGACGCCAGCTGTGGAGTCTACTTCTGAGTTGCACGCTCATACCGACGAATAACCTCTCGCAGCTGGTCGTACGTGGCACTCTCGCTACAGTTCACACTCACATGTGTACGCAACGACGCAGGAAGCGACCGCAAAAGAATAGCCGCCTTCAACTCAGTCCACAGGCTTGCTTGACGACTGTTCATATTTACGGCAAAATTCTTACCAGCTTCAGATTCTGCCCGTGGTAGTATAGAGTTTGTCATCGCTGGAAACTGCGAAATTGCACCGAGGAGCGCCAAAGACCGAGCTTTTGAGCTCGGCGCCAAAGTGCGACTCAAGGTCCCCCAAACCTCGCATCCATTGCCATCTGGAGTGGCCTTCAAGATTTGCACCGGGCGCTCTCTAAGAAGACTTGCAAGCAAAGCGTACAACTGCTTCGACATGTCAACCGTCTCACCTGACATGTCCGCATGGATGTTCTCATCTTCCAAACCAGACTCTAGGACGCACGGATTTTACTAGCATGCCAGGCTCTGAGGCGCGAAGCCGTATCCTCGGTGAGGCCGACATCAACGAGTCCTGATGCCACCGTCGCCCGGACAGTAGAACTCCCGGGCCGTTGGTCCCGCAGTTCTGTGGTTGTGCACAAAGCCCCTGGCCTGCTGGCTTGGCGTTGCCTTCCTTTGCTTTCTCGAAGTTACAGCGAATCCCAGAAAGTTGGAACATGGGTTTAGGATCCCTCATACTTTACCTTCAGGGCATCAGGATAATCATGTTCCAACTTTCTGGCTTCTACTATATTGTACGAGAGCTGCACGCCCATATCCCTGCCAGGGGAATGTGAGCTGAATCAGTCTTTATCTGATGTGTTCCTTCCATGGTTTTCTTGTCCACCTCCGGGGAGATGAGGAACATGACCCATCCGCCCTGCTGGTGTCGACGGTCGAGGCCCGTTCCGGCCCGGTGGCTGCATCCTGCCGTGCAGGGTCGGGCTGGCCTCGGCGCTGCCGCGCCTTAGCTGCCATTGCCCTCAAGAGCTCGTGCTTCTGGGCGGAGCTGCACTGCCAGCCTTCGACCACAAACTCCGCGGTCTCCGTTTCCTGAAGGGCGAGTACATCGCAGGTGCGCTGGGCAATGGCATGCAGCCATGCCTTTATCTCAGACCGCTGTTGCAGGCGTTCCACGTCAGCAGCCGAATAGGCTTGCTGAGCCTGCCTCTTCTCGTGCGTTGGTCAAAGGTGTGCGTTGGGGAGGCCTTGCAAGTGGAGGTCGGTGCTATGGAGTGAGCCGGGAGGAGCAGAGGCTCCAAGCCACTCTTCCTCAGATACTCTGGTGTGGGGGACCCGTGCCTGTGGTCCTGGCTGGATTGCGTGCGATACACACGATTGCAAACTTTCCTCAGGGCTTTCTTGCGTATGCTCTGAAACGAATTCTGGTGCAAAGGCGGTGTCGCCATCCGCTAGTGTCGCAAGGCCAAGCCTGAGCAACCGCGGACAGGTGAAACCCTACCGCCTACCTGTGTCTGGGCTGCCGGCGTGCTGCGAGAGGCCCGGGAACTGGGACCCGGCAGATCACAGAGGCGCTTGGCTGCGGCGAAATCAATTAAAGGCCTCAGTCGAGCGGACAACCTTTGCATACGCTTGGCGAAGAGAGCCTGTTGCGAGCCTCTGGAGTTAGCACCCACAGCCTGGTTAGCAGTGCTATACTGCCTTCTGTGATCCGTGGCGGCTACAGCAACAACAACAACAACAACAACAACCACAACCACAAGCACAAGCACGGGCAACAGGCCAGGGCCCACAAGCCACAAGCCACAAGCACAACCACAACAGACAACAGCCACAGCAACAACGAGGACGACAACTACGACGACGACGACGACGATGTCGACGACGATGACGACGACGATGACGACGACGATGATGACGACGACGGCAGCAGCACCACCAGCAGCGGCCGCAGCAACCGCTACCACTGCCATGGCGACAACAAGTCTGCAAGCAAAATTTGCAGAGGACAGCGAAGAGCGGTAGAGTTGAAAGCAGCATCCACAGCGACATTCAGCTCTAGTTTGCTGCACGCAGAGCTTGAAAAGTACAGAGATGGATGGCACTACAGCACAGCCGCTACATACACAATGTCGGCCAGATACAACGATAACACCAAAATCAACATCTGAATGCAAATAACTGCGAATCAGTTCTGAGTTTGCTGACTCCCACTCCGAATCCCGGCAGAAGGCAGAAAAAACATCACGGCATCACGATCACCACCCTCGTCGTCGGCATCCCATCACCAGTCACCAACACCATCATCATCCTGACAAAAGCGGCGCAACAGGAGTGTTCATCCTGATCATACGCGTGGCCAAACACAGGCAAGATCAAGCAAAGGTCTGACAAACAGATGTCCCGAGCAAAATGGCGTGTTTCACATTCAAGATTCAAGAAATGCAATGCGTAGGCAGGCGCACATACGGCCCGCCTGTTTGCAGCTCCGGCACGGCAGCCGCCACTGTTGTTCCTACGTCCGGGCTCGATTTGGCCTCCTCACCTGCGGACTCCTCGCTGCCAACCTGAGAAACATGAGAGACGGCTACATCGACTGTTCCCAAAACCTCCCCACTCTCGTGTTCACCAGACGATCGCATGCCCATGCATGCCCTCCTGCTGGCCTGGATTTCTCAGCTAACATCCCACAGACAAGACATGACATGACTCGTCTTAAAACTCACTTCTCGACATTGTCTTGTCTAGAAGTCTTGCAGTAAACGCAGTTGGAGTTGTTTTGCAGGACAGGTCTGCCAGGCGGACGTGCTTTTGCGTCCACCATCAGTTCTTCGACTTGCCGAAAGCTTATCTGGAGTTTGCCTTTGCAAAGCATTGCATCCGGAAGGAAATCACGTGTGATCAGAACACAAAAGCATGCAGAGTTTTGATCGAGCGAATTGGTGGGTCTTCCGCGCCAAAACATACCGCAAGAAACAAAGTCGATCGAAGGCATTTCCTGTCAACATCGGCTTCACACCGGTCCTACGTTCGTTTCTACCTCCGAAGATCGCGATTTACAGCAGCTGATGGTTTCCCGTGGGGTACTGCCGGTTCAATGAGCCTGGCATGGTGCCAAAGCGAACGAAGTACCAAGGCTACTTGCCTAGTGGGAGTCGTATTTCCGTGGCTGTCGCTGCTCCCCCTCCATGAGCAGCCAGTCCACGTCGACATCCAACATGGGATGGTTTCCAATCCCATTCGAGACTTCAAGTCCTCGCTGAACTCAGGTTTTGTGAGTGGTGAGTGTCGGCTTGGTATTCTGCTTCGCCAAATGCAGGAGAGCCGAAGCTCCTGGTCCGTGTGTCGCTGTCACCAAGACAGAAGTCCAGGAGACGGTGCAACTGCGGCTCAGGATCCGCAGAGGTGACTGATCGAATCTGGCGCACACAGGCGGCAATTCAGAGCGATGCACAGTTGCAGGGATGGGATTACGCCTGATTCGGCGTTGATCACGACCTCTCGGCTAGCATTGCGGTTGGTTGAGCAGGGCTCCTCGGAGAGGAATGCACCCTCGAAGATCAAAAAACACGCCCGAAACCAAAGCTGCAAACACACCGAATCGAAACCAATCCAGGGCCACACAGCTTGCAAAGAACCCCACACTCCGATTTCCCACACATCCTCAGACCTTACAAGACAACAAAAAGCACATGCCTCGTTCCAATAAGGAATCTGTAGGTATTGCGGTAAGCATTGAGGGGATATCGAGACAAGGGGTAGGAGCAAGGTAAACCTGCTCGACATCGTTTGGGCTCTGGCTTCGCTTCCCTCCTCTTCTTCCTCGTCATCTTCTGCTGCAGCTGCGGCACGCAAGTTTGCTGCCTAGAATCGGGTGGCAGGAGTGTCTCGTCGCTAGCATACACTTGACTTGCTGCAAGGGGACCATAGCAGCAGCATCGAAACCACTGTCGCCAGCCATAGAGGCTCTGTAGATGGCAGCCACGGCCTTGTCAGACGATTTCGATTCTTACATTGCCCTGCGTATGCATGATTGGATTGACAAATGCTTCACTGCGGACTTCCTCTTGCAGAGCGAACGGGAAACCGTCCTGCCTGATCTGTGATTGCAGGTATGTGCGAAAGGTTCAGGCGTCGAAGTGCGTGCGCATGAGATACAACCTGTGCCGATCTGCGCTCAAGATGCTTGACAGATATCCATGCTACAGTAGACTGGCCTGCCTCCAGAAAGGGTGTCACAGAAAGAATCTTGCAGCCTTGAAACACAACCGACGAGATGAAAAAGGGCTTGGACACGGCATGTCATATCTGCCTGATAGATCCAGCCGCTGCAGCCGCTTGCAGCAGATCAAGATGCGCCGGACATGATCATCCTGACAGTGCCAGAGCCGATTGCCGGTTGCCTCATCGAGCATGCCGGTCACTAGGGCCACCGCTCGTAGCATTGGACAGGAAGCCAAGCTTAGATCCTCACAGCCAAGACTGCTTTGCCTTCGCAAGAGCACTACATAGCACACCGAAACACCGAAAGCCTCCAAGTACTCACATTGCTTCGCGATGGCAAAAGGCAATTGTCTGCTTAACTGTGGACCTTCAAGCAATGTCGATGGATCATCCATGTACAGTACAGAAGCTTGCAAGCCCCCGGGTGCCAGGCAATTGGTCAGGTCTAGAACACGCAGTCTTTTCAGATTGACCATCGCCTTTCACAGGAGATTGTTTTACCAGAAACTGTTATGCCTCTGCGAGATGTGCCGGGAAACCGGAAGCAGACGTCCACCCGACAAATCCACAATCTCTGCGCGTTTGTTCTGGTCTGTAAATCTTTCTCTTCTCCCAAACATAAACCAAGCAGTAACCTCTGTGCATTCTCTCAGTTTGAAAATGTTACACTTGCAAATCTCCCCCCAGCCAAGGATTGCTCTGCCACCTCAACCTAAAGACACCAGCCATGTCTTGCAGCTTGTTGTTGCAACACGGGAGGTGTCACTTCTGCCTCCCTTCGCTCAAGACTCAAGCTGTGATAACATGTGGAAGGTCATGTCGCCTGCAACGATTGTGGCAGTTCCTCGTCAAATCAACTTACCTCTCTTTCGCATAGAGGCCTGAGAAGTCATGTCGTCAGAGAACTTGTCAGGATTCAGAGCAAGATGAAGGTGCACCAGACCTGGACCCATGATTGGTTCTGCCACGGTTGTTCACGACTCTTGTCTGCGCCTGGATTGGCTTGTGTGATGGCCAGGAGGCCTGCAGACTACTAGTTGGCGGAAAAAGGAAATTAGTAGAATATTCGAACTGCAGCGTGGGACGGCCTGCGTCGCCGAGTCGTGGACAGCGCACAAGTGCAAGACGTGTTAGCCCTTGCATCAGAGTGCCGCCCGACAAAGAGAGCCCGGTTTCATGCACTTAGAACTTTAGCTGAGATTCTCATGCACCCTGCTGCCATCTGAACCAGTGCCTGCACGCAAGGGGGCAACCAGGCAGTAGCAGTCAGAGCTGCAATGCCGACAAATGGACACTATGCCACATTTCCAGAGCCTGATCGCTGACACCCGTCGAATATGAAAGGTCAACCGCCTCAGAATGCGAGCAGCTCGCGTGCAGTTGAGTGCGAGAAACTCCTTGGAAGCGAAATCTTGCAGCAAAGCATATTGTGGAGCTGCAACTTCCACCTCAAGGCGTCGAAGTCGGCAGAGGGATCTGTCATAACCACAAACTCTTTGCCATTGGCGAATCGGGAAACTAAGAACGGTTGTGCTTGCGATTGCTTCTTGGGCAAAAGGATGCAAATGCTGAAAATCGGCGGCGGTGTGCCAAACAGCACCAGAAGAAACAGTCAGGCCGGGCATACCCCACGAACTCCTCTGTGACGGCAGGGCAGTGCGCTGCCCTCGCGGTGCAGACACTCCATCGCATGGTGACTCCTTTCATGCCCTCTGTGCCTGAGCTCGCGTAAATCTTTCAGCTGTGCGACACAGGAGATGTCAGTGAGCATGCAGCAGCTGATGTCCAACCGCTCCAGTTTGCCACAACCTTGTGAAAGCCATTTGGAGAGGCTGCAGTCACTGCGCTCCTGCCACCTCCTGCCACCGGGCCTGCAAGGATGCTCGCAAGAGACTTGTCGTCTGCTCGTGTCCCACGGAGGCTCAGCCTCAAATGCAAACTCCGTTGAGTCGAAGCTCGAAATCAACGCTAATGATCGCCCACGAAGCCGCTAAGTGAAGGGACGTGCTCGCCCTTGTATTTCTCTCTCCATACGAAGACCACGGCCGCCGCCCGATCATGCTCAAAGGGCTGAGATCCGAGCTCTTGCAGCTCCCTCAAGTTCCCGGCCTAGCGAGGAGACAGCAAGCCAGACGCGGCGTTCTGCTGCTTTCCGCGATCTGACACGGGGGCCCCGCCATGGGCACCAGAGACCTCGTCGAAAGCCATGGCAAGTCGGAGAGCCAGATGCGCCTGGCAGCCCCAAACCCGCTCAAGAAACCCACGCAGAAGCCCGATGCTTGATGATGCTTGTCCCATCTGAAGCATGCCATCCAGACTGGATGCTGTCAGCAACGATGTCGTTGACATCCTCTTTGCTCAGCACCTGCAAAGGCTGCAGATTTGTTCATCGAAAGGACTGACGAAAACTGACACTCGCACTTTGACAGCTCTTCTCTCGAGATCGGTCGGGAACCTCCAGGAGCTTCGCATCGCTGTCAAGAGCAACCTACCAGCTTCCATGGCTTGGCAATGGCTTTCGGACTGGGGGACATGTACGAAACGAAGCCGGAGGCCGGCAAGTTCACCCCGATTAACAGAAGTGCTGGTGGCCAGCGGGATTTCGCCGTGAATCTGGGAGTCGCCTCTGTTAAGGCAATTTGCAAGTTTGTGCTGCGGCTATGAAATGGAAGGTAACACGACTCCTTCAGCAAGGGTATTGGCTTTGGTTATCACCATTTGTGATGTCAACCTGAACTGTCAAGTTCGCATTTAAGAACCTGATGGGTGCAAATACCGGTAACACTATAAGCGAGCCCGAGCCTGAACCTTCATTCATCAGAATACAATCAAACATCATACTATATTACTGCAGCTCGCCATGGCACGAATGCAAAGCTAGTTGTGAGCTCTTCCGAACAACTGTATGAGCTTTGCCCTTACCACGAACAATAACCGTGAAGCTGCTCTTAAGAAGCCTAAAAACTGAAATCGACAACCACAGCAACAAGAACGACAACAACCACAACCACACACCACCGCCACCACCACCACCACCACCAGCAGCATCGTCGTCACCAGCATCATCATAATTATCATCATCGTCCTGTGAAAGTTCCTATGCTACGGAGCAAGAAAGAATGATATCCGGAAGCGGTGCTTGATATCTGCTCCAGTCCGAACTAAGAATGCAGATGAGAACACCTGCTTTACAGCATGTTCGAGCGAAAAAATGCACCTCATCATCCTGTGGCCGTGGATGCTCCGGACCCGGATACTCTCGCGAAACGATGTTATCATGCAGGACCCGTGGATGCTCTGGGTACCGTTATCGCAACACGCCCGTGCTCTGGAAACCGGATGCTCTCGCGAATGGACGTTGTCATGCTTTGGCCGTGGATTTTGGCCGTGGATGCTCTGGGAGCCGCAGGTGCTTTCGCGAATGGACGCGCGAGTTAAAGGCACCAGCAGGCGCCAAGTCCGGTCACGGCTCAAACAGACCACAGAGATTCCCCAACTGCAGCGTTGGGCCCACTTCCAGTGCCATACCCAAAGCCTTCTTCGTGACTTCGTCAATGCAGCAAGAACCGAAAGCTCCGTAGCATGTTGCTGCGTTTCCACATGTTTCCACGTTGCGACCGGTCGCGGATCAGAGCTGAGTCCACGAGTTTGAAGTGATGGTCCGATGTGCCAACAGCAGTATTGTACCCGTATCATTCAAGATAAACACTTCTGCTGCTGTCACTTGTTGTAGCTTGAGACGACCCTTCCCTTACACAGGACTCCTCAGCGCATGTACTTCAAGCATGGTTTAACTTCTGCACAAGCATTACGAGATTGGGTGTCTCGCGTGGTTTGGCTTGGTTACGGCTTGGCTTGTGTCGGTGGGTCGGGGCGGGTGCCATGTTGCATCGAAGTCACTTAGTCACAAAGTAGAGTCGGCATGGACTCCCAACAGTGACATCCGTGCCTCCTGAAAGACACCCTGGTCTGGGATAGAGGAGCCGCTGATATCTTGTATCCTGCCACGGGCAATGCAACTTGTGCGCAGAGCATGTTGCCATCAACTGCAGAAGTCTTCCTCGGAAGGGGCAGAAGCCGGCAAACCTGACGCACGCTTGGGTCGAGGGCTTGATCTCGGCGGGTTCCGGCTGATCTGGGCCGCAGTTCCTTGACCTGTCCAAAGCGTAAATGACCGAGAAGAGCCCATGAATCCACCGTCATCGACAGTCCTTCTCTTCGCCTTGATCCGTTCGACCTGCTCGCGAGGCCCATCCAAGAGAACCGATGTTTTCCTAGTTAGCGCTCTTGGAAAGGCAAAACCCATGTTGTCACGATACTCCCAAACGCTGTATTGGCAGGGTTGGTGAAACATGACTTCAGCAACTGCTCCACACTCTACAAGCAGATGCACAGCGCGCAGGTTTCACAACGTGTCAAAAAGTAGGGTCGTCGGGCCTTCAGGTGGCTGGCGAACGTTTGGCAGAACCTGCCACTTCAACCACGCAAAGAAACCAGTCTCACTTGTCGAAGGCAGTATAAGCCTGCGTGGCCAAAGCGACAGACAACAGACTCAAACAGAGAAACTTGCAAGGCTTCTGCACCTGGGGGAACCAAAACGCCGGGAGCACAGGTGAGAAGGTATTGCGGTGCCACTCCGACTTCAGATAGCTGCGCTGGAGATGCCAAGGCAGACCATCCTGGCAACTGCATCCCGGCGCTCCGCTCGGTAAGACTGCTGATTCCATCTTCTCCAAACGAATCAGATCCTGTTTGCCAGAAGAACTGCTGAGCGAACTTGCTTGAAGGATGTTGAAGCATGAGTATGTCCAGCTTTCTCTCACGAGGGCCTCTAATACGTGCTTCATTGTGCTTCACTTCTCAAATCATGCCGGGCAGGGCCATTCTCCATCAGCCTGACTGAAAGGCTTTCAACGATCAGTCTACAACTAATTCTGTCTTGGTACGCCTTACACAATACTTGTTCCAACGGTTCATTCCAAAGCTGAATATGTGAAGTGCGAAGCACAGAAACTACCTTGACGAGGCCATCGAGCCAACAGCAGGAAAAGGCACAGCACAAGTGACTAGCATGACTGACTGTTTCCGTCCGTAGTGAGGCAGATGAGACATCAGCGATGCAGCAACTCGCTTCGATCTTCAGCTTCAGCTTCAATATGAACTCGCTACATTTGCAACTTTGTACATAGATCAGGCCATGGCCCACTGCCAGGTCCTGCATGGAAAGCCTTGCTGTTCGCCTAACTTCCCTAATCTGTCTGTGCTTCGACTACGGGTCGCCGACTAGCTGAGCTCAGCTCAACTTGGCGAAGGCCACGGTCGCAATCACGACGAGGAGCAGCTGCACACCCAGTGCCACGAAAACACCAACCATCCAGTTCTGGCAGAGCAAGGCACTGCAAGGTATCACAAGGTTAACCAACCTAACATGAACAAAGCAGGACAGTTCCAGCTACACGAGCTCAGATGTAATCTCGCCGAGGGAGCTGTGTAAGCTGCGCTTTCATACGCACTGATTTCGGTGGCTGGATCCTGTTGATGGGCACACAAGCTAAGCCAAAGTGTGGCCACGCAGCATCACCACTCCAACGCTGCAAGAAGCGGGGAAGGCGGGGCAGGCTGCAGGGTCTGTGCTGGCTCCTGCATCCAGTAGAAGAAGATGGGATGGTTTGCACGTATGTTGTAGGCTGCCTCATAGGAAGGAGCAAGGCTCTCACAGTCTCACACGTCTGAAATTCCGCTCCCAGACCTCTGCTTGTTGAACCGCCAATCGAAAATAAGATCGCAAATCATCCCGCATCAGCCGAAGTCCAGAATGGGCCGTAGGATTGTTAAACTCACCTTGTCAGGCGCAGTGCACCAAGCATGGGCTAAACAGCAAAGCCAAGTAAGACGGGGACCACAGTGGAAGTCTGCCACGTGACCAGAGCAGCAATTGAGGCCTTCAACTGCATCTTGTTGTGTTCGAACCGGGACATGCGGGGGGCATTTCGCGAGAAATGGCAAACGTTGAAGGGACAGGCCTACTGCCCAGAAGTCGTAGTTGTCCTGTTTTCCGGAGGCAATTGGCGCCACACAGTAGGTGTCCAAATTCCTGCGACATTTCTGCAGCGTGCTGTGGCTCGACCGCAGTGATGGGGAGGCTTGAGACGGACGCTTCCGCCTGAACCCCATGGAGTGGGCAATATCCAGCTTGGCATCCGGAACAAAATGAACACGACCGGCATCCATCAGCTGGTTTCCTGCACACAAAGCTTGGCCTTAAAATCGCAGCAAAGATAGCAAAGTCGTCGGTCTGCTTACTACCTTGCACAATCTGTAGCCTTTACTCTCAGCTGGATTGATCATGTCGTATTCGTTCATGTTGTTCACATCCATGAACGGGACCAAGTTCGACCTGACGGTGCTTAGGTCATTGCGGTCCCACTCCGCAACCGAAGTGATCTGCCCTGACACGAACTGGCCTGTAGTTCATGTTACCGAGAACCACCGCGAGTGCAAGGTTCGCAGCGCTGCAGACGAAGAGAAAGAAGTACCAAGTGGATCGTCCATCCTCTCCACTCCTGGACGCTGCAGGCTGACATGCTTCGCTCAGCACTACGAGGCTCGACGAGTACGCACCTGAGATTTTGCAGGGCGGAGTAGGCCAGCCTGAGCCGCATTTCCAACACCCAGGCTGGGTCACCACTGTCAGTTTCATTCCGAGGACGTGGCAGGAGCACTACGACAGCTGCCAGCCCAATTCCGGCGGAAACCAGGCCAGGGCTGGTGTAGTGGAGGCTCAAACTACACAGGCTGTAGACCTGGCCCAGGCAATACGTATGCACAGTGTGGCAGGATAACACCAGACACAAAAAAACCTGTGAGGAAGGCAATTGTGAAGATGAGCCATGGCAGCACTAGGCACCTGACAAACCGTCTTAAAGCCGTGCTTGATATCTCAATGCCCCATGCTAGGCACCGGATCCGAGGCCGGAGCAGGGCCAAGGCCGGCAAATCGATGCTCCGCCGCTGTGCCCGTCCAAAGGGCGACTTGGCCACACCTCGAGCGCCAAACTGCTCCCCGTTACCTGTGCCCTCAAAGGGCACGAGAAGCCGACCACTCTTGGCATCGCCGAATCCTTGTGACCTCAGTGCAGCACCACGATGCGAGAAACGTACAACTGGTGAGTGTCCTTCT